CTCGGTGTAGCACTATCGAGCTGTCTTCTAGTTTTCCTTGACAAAAATAATCTTCCCATCACTCCCTGGGAATTTCATGGTGAGGTGTAGGGTGTACACCACTACTCCGAGTTGATTCAAGGTCGGCCTCCCAATAATTATGTTGTAGGAAGTGTTGGCTTCCACGATGAGGTATCGGACCATAATTCGCCTTGTGTCTGGAGAGGTCCCGAAAGTTGTCAGCAGGTCCACGTATCCCCGAGTGTGTCCTCGCTCTCCTGCAGAATCGACTAGGGGCTCTGTGTGAGGTTGGATGAGAGAGTGAGGGATGTCTAACCGGAGGAACGTCGGCCAATATAGGACGTCCGCCGAGCTCCCTTGGTCGATCAGTGTCTTGTGGACCTCCCAATTAGCTACCTCCACGGTGATGACCATGGGGTCATCTTGGTTGGGGATGACGCCAGTGTAGTCGTCGTCAGTGAAGGTGGTGGGCGGTGAGCTTTGGTGCGAAGCCGAGGTAGTGGAGTGGACGCTGTTGATATTGCGCAGATGTCTCTTCCAGGCCGAGCTGCTGGCGCCTCCCCCTGCGAAACCACCTACAATTGTGTTGATTACTCCCCGTAGGAGAGCTGACCCTGTTTCCTGGCTTTCCTTAACTTGCACTGCTCCACCAGCGTTTTGCTGAGAGCCAGAGGGTTGGTCCGTGCGAGCTCCCGAACCACGACCTCTGCCTCATCCTCGTCCACCGTAGCCTCCTCGGTGACCCTGCTATCGTTGGACATATTGGTCGAGGTGGCCTGCCTGTATGAGTTCCTAAATACGGTCTCGGAGTGTGCGGCACTCTTCAGTGGTGTGACCGTGGTTTTTATGATACCGATAGTGTTTGGACTTGTCCGCGCTGTTGGGAGTGTGACCTGGTGGTGGTAGGGTGAGCAGGTTGCTGTTACTGGCCTCCTCCAAGATGTGAACTCGGGGCGTATTCAGGGGAGTGTAGAAGTCGTATCTCCCCCCCTTGTTTGTCCGAGCAGTTTTCTTGAACTGACTGTCGTTGGTGACCTTCATCTTGTCTTTGTGGCCACTGTCAGGTTTCGTTTGTGATTTTCCACGAACCTGGTCACGGAAGGCAGGATGTTCCTCCATTTGGATGTATCCAGCAGCACGGGCACGGAGCTCGTCCATATCGCGAGGAGCTTCACGACATAGACTGTTGACGAACGGTCCAGGCTTGAGTGCCATGAGCATGGCGTGTAGAGCGACCTCGGGATTCAGATTCCGGATCTTTACCGAGATGGCGACGAATCGTTCCATGAACGTTTGGAGTGGTTCATCGTCACCCTGTCGGAGACTGGCCAGGGCAGTTGATGTTATGTGATGAGGTCAGCTCGTCGCATACTGTGCTGTGAATTGTCTGACCAGGGTGTCGAAGCTGTCAATTGACTCGGTAGGTAGCTGGGTGTACCAGTTGAGCGCGGCCCCTTTGAGCGAGGTCGGAAAAACCCTACACAAAATAGCATCGTTATTGATGTAGAGGTTTATTTGTGTGGTGTACAGGTCGATGTGCTCGTCTGGGTCCGTTGTGTCGTCGTAGCAGTCGAGGTGGAGAGGCTTCCATCCGAGAGGAAGGGGCGTCTCCATAATGCCATCCATAAAAGGATGACGGCGGAAGGTTGGTTGATCCCCTGCGACATGAGTAGGAGCATTGCTGATCTCATGGGCCGATTTGTGCGTCGGTGCATGAGATCGATGTGTGGCAGGCTTTGGAGTTGGTGTCCTATGCGCTGTTGGCGGTTGAGAAACCGAGTGCCCCTCTTCCTCGTTTAGGTGGCTCGGTGGAGGAGGTTGATCAGAGGTGCGCCGTGGCAGCTGAGCGCGGATACGCTCATTCTCAGCGCGCAGTGCCGCTTGGCACGCATGTTTTGCAGATCGGCAGTGTGTTGCTGCCGCATCTGCTCGACCTGGTCGATCAGCCTTCTCAATGCTGCTTCATTATCCATGGTGGTTGCGTGATCTAGGTCGTCTGTTGCGCGTCTGCTATGGCTTCTGGTAAAAACCATAAGCGTGGCCGATAAGAGCTGTCTTGATCGGCCCCACGGTGGGCGCCAGATGTTCTTACCGGGAATCCGTAGTAGGGATGATCTGCTGGGTAAGATCGGTGAGCCTCCTTCACTAGTACGTTGATGCTCCAAGATGGGGGTGGTACCTGCAAAAGAGACTCCGATGCTAAAGTTAGGGTTTGCATGAGTATGAGTCTTGTATAAGTATTGCACGTACTTTGGTGTGAATTGGGGTTTCGTTGGGCCTTGGGCCTGAGATCAGTTATGATCTGATTAGATAGCGGATCTCGTCTAGACCGAGATCTCCCAGCGCATGTCCGAGGTCATCCTGCGCTGTGATACCGAGCTCGAGCTCGGCATAGTGGTACGGATAGTACAATTAGCAATTAATATTTTTATTAGATAATAAAAGAGAAAATTAGTTTATTATCGTTGAATAATTGTCGTTAATAATAATTTTTTATGTAGTAAATGGAGAATTAATTATTATTAAAAGGCCACCAACTATGTTCTTACCTGAGATCGATGTGGAGACGATCTTTGGGGAAGATCGGTGAGCCCCTTTTGCTTGGTACGTCGGCTGCTCCGAGATGGGATTGGTACCTGCAAAAGAGACTCCAATGCTTAAGTTAGTTTTTGTGAGTGTATGGATCTTGTATATATAATACACGTACCTTGATGTGGATTAGGGTTTTTCCCATAGCTGATAGCGGGGTCGATTACGATTTGATAAGATTGCGGTCTTATCACTTTATCTTATCGACGGGAGAGTGGTTCGACTTGATCAGCCAATGTGGCCTGACCTTTTGGGTGCTGAGGTGGGCTTTGATATCGATATGGGTAGTACACTAGCCACCCGAGCTCCGAGTGCTATCAGTCGAGGAGTTAGTGCCGATGTGGGTAGTACAAACTATATTATTGTGACTCTGAAATTCATATGGCTTTGATACATACATATATATATATATAGAGAGAGAGAGAGAAAGAGAGAGAGAAAGATCCAATAAACAAAGCAAACATAATTGAAATAAACGCTACAAAATCATTAAAGAAGTTGTTTAATTAAGGACTTCTTTTATTTTGATGAGGACTCACGAGTCATGGTTGTACATTATCCACAAAGATCTCAAAGCAAACAATGTTTTCTTAGATGATAATTCCTATGATATATATTAGATTTTGGCAAGGCAAAGGTTGATAGATACGTATCAAACAAAAAATAATAATACAAGGTAAAGTTGTTAAAACTTAGTAAATAATACAATATTAATATTCCAGAACTAGCTAACTAGTTTCCATGAGAGCTTAATTTGAATCAACTATCAACTAATCTTTTTACATAATTATTATAAAGTCAAATATTGATCATTTATTCAAAGAGTTAAAGTTAATTTTAAATAATTGTTATAACAGTTAAGATTGTTTAAAGATATTTGATGATTTATTGATAGCATAAATCACTTATATAACATTATGAAATTAAAGTTAGAACATTGTTAAAAATATAGTGATCGTATGTAACAATTAAAATAGTGGAAAAAAAATCCATAAAGAGCCATGATTTATGTAAATTTTACTAAGTTTGTCCATATTGACATGTAAGTAGATATATAAAATCTAAGTATGTAATGCATGAATAATTTACAGAAAAGTTAAATGTCTTTAGTGTTGTTGTACTAATCCTTCAGATTGTATGTGGCAAAAAAATCATGGTATTTATTTTGAGAATGGGTAAGATCTATTAAACTTTGTAAGTATTCTATGTTTTGTCTTTGCAATAAAATGTGTGGATTGAAATGTTATGTAGTGCTCCTAAATATTAATGAAGAAATAGAATTTTGATTATATACTAATATCTTATTATTTTTAATTGAGCAAGATCTTGCATGCATGGATAAACTAAGGAAAAAGGGACAATTACAAATATTATACATCCATCATTAATCAATAATTCATAAAATGAAATGATAAAATGTATTCATATTGATTTACTTTGTGTTAACAAGATTTAGCCAACAGACCAATAATATCTAATGTTGCACTCATGTTTAATAGTTATTTTACTACACTCTCAATGCCTTCAAATCTTCCTTTTTTTTATGGAAAGTGCAACTACAAGCTTTCCAAACATGTCATGGGATGTTAATTTAGGAGTAACAAGATCAAGTAAATCCATAACTAAATCCTGTTCAAAAATTACTAAATGACGGTTCAATTAGTGTTTAAAACTCTAAACTTTTGTGCTTTACAACTCAAATTGCAAGAGTATTATCAACAACTAGGAAAAGAGTAATCTCTTTAAGTAATATGTATACTTTATGATCATGCCTTGAAATTTAACCTTAATCACGCATAAATTTTATGTTTGACTTGCTGATCAATGTGTTATATGGTAAGCTTTTAAACTATTTCACAATTTTTTTATTACAAATAATGAAGTCTTATTTAAAGTTGATTACATAAATTACACATGTTATTCAATAAAGCTAAAGATTAAATATTTAGAAATATCATCTCACTTTTAAACTACTTCAAAAAAATAATTATTAGCATCTCAGAATTTTAGGAGGTATAGTTATTTTAAAGGAATTTTTTTTATATTAAAAACTATTATCCGATTTATGAAAATTCTCAATTCAAGTTGTAAATATTTTTTAATTATAAATAATATTTATAAAAGACAATTTAATTTAAATTGAAAATAATTATAGTAGATAGCAAAATTCTGACTATTTAAAATATACTTGTTAGAAAAATGCTAGTGACACATATTCTCTTCTCATTACCTTATTTTAGTAAATTTTGTCATTAAATCAATGGAAGATCAAGAAAAAGTTATAATATTTATTACAAAGTATTTATTATAAATTTGAATTATACAAAAATAAATATTTACAAATTAAAATACTAGCTAGTATAGTTTTGTAAAAAAATGTAAATAGAGAAAAGAAAAAAGAGAGTTTAAAAAAAAAATCCCGTAGCTTGAGGCGCTTGAAAATGGGTGATCCCAAAAGTGGCGACGAAAGTGAAGCAGCAGCGTAGCATAACTGAGAAGGCAAGGGAAGAAGTAGCTGTAGCAGATCCAATCCAATCGTGTGCGGCAATGCCTCACCGTAACAACCCTGCACCTCTCCCCCTAGTTGTCACCCTCAACTGCATCGACGACTGTTCCCTCGAACTCGAATCCCTCGCCGGCGTCGCCACCGTCGAGCATGTCCCCCTCAGCCGACTCGCCGACGGCAAGATCGAGTCAGCCGCCGCCGTCCTCCTCCACTCCCTCGCCTACCTCCCGCGCGCCGCCCAGCGCCGCCTCCGCGCCTACCACCTCATCCTCTGCCTCGGCTCCGCCGACCGCGCCGTCGACTCCGCCCTCGCCGCCGACCTCGGCCTCCGCCTCGTCCACGTCGACACCTCCCGCGCCGAGGAGATCGCCGACACCGTCATGGCGCTCTTCCTCGGCCTCCTCCGCCGCACGCACCTACTCTCTCGCCACGCCCTCTCCGCCTCCGGCTGGCTCGGCTCCGTCCCGC